CCCCCAGAAGGCCCCCCCCCCCCCATTTTAGTAACTTCTGACAAGATTTGGTCAATCTCAACTTGGTACTTACTTCATGCTTCCTGAATTCACTATTTTTCTAGTGAATGCCAGCATATCATCCAATTCACACGGGAACCAATTCTTATTTGGAAAACCACATCATGTTTTGCAAATGTTCTTGTTTTGAAAATGATTTTTTGTTTAATCTTCTTAGAGGTCATCATTCTGTTATTTTTCCACATGCTACTGAAACTGGAATCTTCCAGAACAAATAATTTTGCCTCTCCGGACTGCCCTGAGTGGGTCCAATGTACTTGATCTGCCATACATATCCATCCATATACTTTTATATGTGAACCAAACAGCTACAAATCAGTATCAGAATTATGTAGTAACATCAATAACAGTATGGTCACTAAAGTATGGCCCACATCAGTGCTCTGAACATTTCACAAATCTCTTATTTTTCCTTTTCTTTTCCACCTCTGATTTCTTCTCTTTTCATTTTGAAAAGGTAGAAGTTGCCTCCCCCTTCTTGAGGAGCATAACTGTTTGGGACAAATCACACAGGATAAGCCTCAAGAAGCTATCTGTATCCACCATCAAAGCAGTGACCCCTAAACCTACATCTTAAAATTAAAGGATGTGTTAGTGTTTTGTTTAAAGCGGCTGAAGTGGATTAAACATCAAACATTTCAAGAATGACCACAGAACAGATTTTCCAACCAAAGCTTTCCACTTAGTTCCTGCCTTTGGATTTTATTTCCTGCCAATTTTCTCTAGCACTTCGAGATACTTGTCCAGAATTTGTTGTTGTCCTGGATATAATGAAATAGCACAAGGGAAGAAAGTACATTTTTGATTGTTTATGGTCTCTCCCTGGTGTTTTAGTTAATAGGCTTTGATCTTCCTTGGTGTCATTCCTGTCACATACTCTGAGATTCAGGGCTTCCAAAAGTGCTTCCATGGATAAAGTTAGGACACAAGTGGATGCATTTATAAGAAGATATTTCATCAGGTCCTGAGGCTTCTTTCAGAACTTTGCAGGATTCAAAACTGGGTCCAGAAATTACCTGAAAGACCAGCTAGATAAGAACAGTAAAATATGACTGTAACATTTGGTCTTAATTAAAGGGATCTTGGCTTGTCATAAAAAATTCTTAGTAATTTGTCTTACTGTGTACAAATCTAATAGGATTTAAAGCTGGAATCCCTCTTAAAGTATAAATTGATCTTGATGATCTTCATTTTGATTACATTAAACTTGCCCAAATCCTCAATGAGCAAAGTCTTAAAGGCACTGATTTATATCTACTGAAATCATAGCTATACTTTTTTTTGTGCCTTAAATCAATCTTGACTCCTGCCATGGACAAGTCCATCAGTTTTCTAGTCAATATTTCTGGAAGTGATTTGCCATTGCCTTCTTCCTAGAGCTGAGAAAGTGATTAGCCCAAAGCCAACCAGCTGGCATCTGTGCCTAAGGCAGGACTAGAACTTAGGCTTTCTGTTCTTAGTCCAGTGCCTTAACCACTATACCAATGTTTCTCAACCTTGGCCATTTTAAAATGTGTGGACTTCAACTCCCAGAATTCCCCAGCCAGCATGGGAGTTGAAGTCCACGTATCTTAAAATGGCTAAGGCTGAGAAACACTGCACTAGACCAAACTGGCTCTCTACATTTAGAAATACTTAATTCAGCATATTTTGATATATTTTGAGAAAAAATATAAATTCATGTATCTTATGGAGGCTATATAAATTGTAAAACCCCATTTCTTAGTTAAAATACCTGCAGCATTTTAGGACTCATGCTAGGCTGACAGTTTGCTGCAGCCCCAAAATAGCAGCTGACTTTTGGTTTAGTAAACCTCAGTTTCATGGACTCCATTAAGAGGATTTCATACACAGTGGGCAAAACCTGAATTCAGACTGTTTTGCCAAACCACAACAGTGATAGTTTCAGGAGCAGTCCAGTCCCAAATTATGTACCTAGTTTTTCTGGTGGAGTGTAAAGTTCTCCAGAAAAGCTTCAGTTTACACACACATACACACACACACACACCATTTGCTCTGAAGTTGGAATCAACCAGTAGAGTGATTGCAAGTAGTCTAGGCTAAGCCTAAGTTTGTTTTCCAAGCCAAGCCAAGCATCGGGGATGTTAAAGAGAAATAAGAACAATACATTATCTACATATTGCATGACAAGGTCCTCCAAATACCCAAATGGCCTCAGGTGAGTGGGTTGATATACTTATTAAATAACACAGGAGACAAGATGGAGTGATGTGACAAAGCCAGTGAAGGTGCCAGAGTTGAGCACCTAGCCCCATTCTCTGAAAATGTTAATTCAAGTCACAGCAGAACTACAACTAAGTTATCCTACTAACCCTTAACTCTAACATCTGTTCCAGAAACTAAGGTTGGTGGAATCAACAGTGGCCAAGATATTGCATGGGTTGCATCCAAATTCCCCTGCCTTCTCTCTCAGAAGTGATCATTCCACCCTAAATAAGCTAAAATCCAAGCAGAAGCCAACTGAGTCCCATCCAAGAGGACCTGAATTTTGTCACTTACAGAATCCATGAAAGAATAACATTCCTAGATCTGTCTTCCTTCCTCCTCCCTCACCTTAATTTATAATTGATTTCTGCTTGTTCTCAAAGTGGAGAACAATATTTTACAAAATACATACATCAAAACCTCTAAGATAAGCTACAAATTATAGGTGACCTTTGACGTGTTTTCCACTTCATTTACTATTTCTTTATTTAATATCTTTGTTATTGCATTTATTCCACCCTTTCTCTTGAGAGTCCAAGGTGGCATATATGGAGGCCACTCCTCCTCTTATCCCATAACAAACCTTGTAAGGTAAGATTGGCTGAGACTGTAACTGTCCTAAAGTCCAGTGGACCTTGTGGTTTAGTGCAGATTTGAACCTGGATCTCTTCAGTACAAATCCAACACATTACCAGCACACAATACTGACTTTTTAACATTACATTGGTGGTTGCTTTTAGCAAATAATGATGAAAAAATGGATTAAAAACAGGCTGGGTATTGATAGAGCTTATATAGGCTGAAATATGCTTAATAATGTTATGGGGATATTTGGGGTATGTAAGGAAACCACTTATTAGTTTCTCCTCTATAAAACTGCAGCGTCCCATTTAAAGCTTGTAAGGTTTTGGCTTTCTACATCAAATTTAGAGGGGGATATTTAGGCCACTGTAATGGTGTGTGGGAAAGACCTTGGGAGATGGGGAGAAGAGATGCTGCCGAGGGAATGGTCAGATTAGAGGCAGCATAACCCACAGCTGCATAGTGAGCGGAACAAGAGGCTCAGAAGGGACCCTCCCTAAGTTCTCAGGCTGTAAAGGTGAAGGCTGGAGAATTGCACTTTCAGACTTGCAAGATTCTGTTAATTTAGCTTTACAATAAAGTAGAATTAGTTTATCTGGTCATGTTTCCTGTCTGGTCTACCTGGTAAGGCTGACAGCCACTGAGTTCAACTCCTTGTTTAATGCAGGACTCCAAATGGAAGCATATCTTGGTGATGAATTACACAATTTAAGAAAGCGCTGTGCCAAAGTACAGAGCTCAGGGATACTGCTTTGATACCTGCACAATGTTCTAAACTCAGTTCCCTGGTTTAGCAATGAAAAAAAGAAATCTAGGAGACTGGGAATCGTCTGGTGGGAATTGTTTGGGAAAACTGATGGACCTTAGTTTTGATTGTCAAATATTTACTTAATGCAACGGTGACTTTTAGCCTCTGTGCAAGTTTAATAGCAAGTTGTAAGGTTCACAAAAATAGATGCCTGTTGGAAGTATACAATAGTCTCAAGTGTTTTACAAAGAAGAGATAGCTTTTTCCTCCTTTGCCTCCAGGCATAATTCTCCAATCATGTTCAGGCATAGAATGTATGCATTTTCCTTGTCCGGGCTATGAGGGGAATTAAAAAAAACCCTACCCGTGTAATATGACTCCAGGAAAGCAAAAAAGGGGCAGAAACTTGATCTCAATGGATGAGAAAAACTCCAATTAATGTTTAACAAGATAGGATGGTCCGATGGGATAACAGTGGCGTGATCCAGCACATCCCCGCCCCAAAGATTTAGAGGAGCGCATGAACATGTAGGCCAGGGGGAGGGAAAGTAGAAGCAAGCGGAGTTTCTGAGCGTGTGAGTGTGCGCACTCGCTGGGATGGCCATTTAGCGTTGGCTAATTCTGAGCGCCCCGCGAGTCGAAGGGCAGCTTAGAAACCCAAGCCAGCAGCAGGCTCCGGCCCGCGCGCGTGCCAGAAAGTGGGCTCGCCTCGACGCTGGTTCCTGGCTCTGCCGGCGCGGATTCCCGGCCACGCTCGGCGGGGGATTCTTCCCCGGCTTGGCTCTAGGCCGGCGTCGCAGTTTCCCGCGCTCCGAGAGTTGCATTCTAACCCGCGCGACGATGGGCAGCCGTCGCGGCTTGCGCGCTTCGCGGTTGCTGCTCCTTGTAGGCGCGCTCGCTTGGTTAGCTCTGGCAGCCGCCGCTCACTACGACGCGGACGAAGGCGGCGATCTGATCCCCCCCATCGCGCTCGCGGGGGAGAAGCCGAACGGA